GGAGGAGGAGGAGGAGGAGGAGGAGGAGGAGGAGGAAGAGCTGCCCTTGGTGCTCTCTGAATTGATTGCTTTCTTACAGACATTTCATTACCCAACTAGGTAACATCATCAGTGCTCGAAGGGAGTGGGTGTTATGGAGAGGAGGAAGAGTAATGTGGGGTCCTTGGTGCTCTCTGAGCTTGGTTGTTTTCTTGCAGAGGTTTCATTACCCAACTAGCTCTCGTACCAACTCAGCTCACAGGGCTGTTGTGTGCAAAATAGGAGGAGGAAGGAATTTTAGGTATAATAAAGGCAGGATATAAATATGTAAAATAAATAAAAATAGAATAAAATCTCCTATTGCCCTAGAATAGAGTTGAATGTGGGTAAATAGTTGTGCGCATTCAGTCATGTTATTGGCTGTTCCACTGGCACTGTAGGCTCAAGCTGATAAAATAAGTTCCCCTACTTGCGATGGATGTTATGTGCCTGTCCAGAATCAATGGTTGATCCAGGATGTGCCTTAAGGAGAAATGGAAGGATACAAACTATTCAAAAGAAACAGATCTAACAAAAGAGGAGGTGGATTTGCATTACATATATAAAAGATCACTATATCTATACATAAATCCACAGAACCAAGGATGAAAACCTCTTAGAATCCATATGGGTCAATCCAAAAGGAAAAGAGAATGACATTGCTATAGGAATACACTACAAGCCAGCCAACAAAGTAGGAGAAACAGGTGGACTTTTTGCTAAACAACTAACAAATGTATGTAGGAAACATACCACTGTAGTCATGGGAAACTTCAGCTCCCCAGATATCAGCTGGGAGACAAACTCTGCAGCGAGCGGAAGATCAAACAGATTCCTAACCAACCTAGCCGACAACTTTGTCATCCAAAAGGTAGAGGAGGGAAGCAGAAGTAAAGCTATACTGGACCTAATTCTTACTAAGAAGGGATGGAGGGAGTTGAAGATGCCGGGACCTTGAGGGAAAGTGACCACGTCATACTGGAATTCAATATAATGCAAACACAGGCAGTAGAAAATAATTCAACCGATGTCTTAAACTTCAAAAGAGCTGACTTTAATAAACTCAGAGAGAACCTAGGAAAGATTCCATGGATGAAAATCCTAAAGGGGAAAACAGCTCAAGAAGTGTGGGAAGCTTCCCTCCACACGTTGTGGGTGTTTCATCACTGGAGGTTTTTAAGAAAAGACTAGACAACCATTTGTCTGGAATGGTATAGGGCAGTGGTTCTCAACCTTTTTAATGCCGCGACCCCCAACCGGTTGTAAGTCGAGGACTACTCAACCGGTCGTAAGTCGAGGACTACTCAACTGGTGCAGCACCGTTTGCAGAATGGGACTTTTGGCAGGCTCAGCAGGGCAGAGACAGCCTGGGCAATTCCTATTGGCTTTTGAAAGCCAATAGAATTAGACTTTATTCAAGAGAGTCTATTCTATTGGCTTTTGAAAGCCAATAGAATAAAAGGGAGTAGCACAGCTAAGGAAAAGGGGGAAAAAATGGCTGACTGCGTTGTTTGGCGACCCCCGTGAAATGGTCGTTCGACCCCAAATGGGGTCCCGACCCACAGGTTGAGAACCATTGGTATAGGGTCTCCTGCTTGAGCAGGGGGTTGGACTAGAAGACCTCCGAGGTCCCTTCCATCTCTATACTGATTGATTGAAATGTGCTGTCATCCAGACTAGTCATATATGAATTCTTTCCCAGGTCAACATTTCCTGTGTAAACAAAGACAATTTATGAGGGTAAATACAGAAAATAAAATCCTTTCCTTTGAAATCCTAACTTAGCACAGGCAGGCTAATTTTAATAAGGCACATAGGGCTAATTTTGTATTATTACTGTAAATGTTTACCAAATCATACCGTGGTTGTTTGGGTTTGACCTGGAGTAATATGTAAACTTGTGGCTTGCGAATAATAATTTATGGCTTCAGCATGTTGTATCCTCCTAACCAATTATGGTTTATTCTAGTAAACGAAAATGCTATTTATAACATGTTCCAACTGGGATATTGTCCAACCACATGGAAAATTAAGAAATAAAATATAATAAATATTCTATCTATCTATCTATCTATCTATCTATCTATCTATCTATCTATCAATCTATCTATGCCATCAGTCTACATCTATCTATCTATCTATCTATCTATCTATCTATCTATCTATCTATCTATCTATCTATCTATCTATCCCATCAGTCTATATCTATCTATCTATGCCATCAGTCTACATCTATCTATCTATCTATCTATCTATCTATCTATCTATCTATCTATCTATCTATCTAATCCATCCCATCAGTCTACATCTCTCTCTCTCTCTCCCATCAGTCTATATCTATCTATCTATCTATCTATCTATCTATCTATCTATCTATCTATCTATCTATCTATCTATCTTTCTACCTACCTATCTATATCTATCTATCTATCTATCTATCTATCTATCTATCTATCTATCTATCTATCTATCTCCTTCTTAACTTTTCTTCTTGCCTTTTTTTTTTAATCTATGATGTTGAAAGTATGTGTTATTGAAACTATGTGCCGGTCCATGTGTTGTGATTCCTTAATCTCCTTAATCTCTGAGCCTGTTCATCTGTTGTAACTCCTTAATCTAATACATCCTTCTTTGGTGTAACCGTAGTGGCTTAGTTCTCACCTCATGCAAATTTTAAAAATCCACAATTCTACAAATCCACAGTTTCATTTTAGCCTTAATCCTAACCTGCTATGTGAATATAATTACACAGTGCGGTAGTTAAAATGTAAGTCCTCCTTAAGGTCCTCCTCCTTAAATCTTCCTCCTCCTCAGCCCTCCTTTTTCCTGCTTAATCCATAAAAATGAGATCAAGTAAAGTAGATTAGACAAAACCCTACTTCTATCAAGCACACAGGCACCCTTTTTTGCCACCGTTGTTAAATGAATCACTGCAAGTTGTTAAGTTAGAATCACGACTGTCAAGTGAATCTTGACTTTGCTTGTCAGAGAGCTGCAAAAGGTGATCCACATGATCCCAGGACACGACAGCCATCATAAATATGCGTCAGTTGCCAAGCGTCTGAATTTTGATCAAGTGACCATGGAGAAGCTGCAAGGTCATAAGTGCGAAAAAACATCGCTGCAACAGTTGTGAATGGTTTGCCTTCAGAAGTTGTAGGTCAGACATGTCAAACACAAGGTCCGGGGGTCGGATGCGGCCCACAAAGTGGTTTCATGTGGCCCGCGAAGCCATCCTGGAAACAGTGAGGGAACAGCCTCCCATTGCCTTGGCCCTGGCCCGGGCTGGCTGGGACCCAATGTACAATTTTATGGTTGCCATCTATTCTGAAACGCATTCAGTCTTAGCTCCACAAGGCCGTCTGGAAACAGCGAGGAACCAGGCCCCCACAGGCACCCTTGACACAAATGAAGTAGAGCTGGCCACACCCACCAAGTAGGCCACACCTACTCCATCCACGCTCACCCAGTAGGCCGCACCCATCTGACCCCCTGAGGGCAACCACAATGCTGATGCGGCCCTCAATGAAATTGAGTTTGACACCCCTGTTGTAGGTTCTCCAATACTGGAGGTTTTTAAAAAAAGATTGGCTGAAAGACTTTGGGCCAATCACCAGGAGATGGTGAGTTCTGGTCCCGCTTTAACCAGGAAAGCCAGTTGGATGGCTTTGGCACCATCACCAGCAGACAGTGAGTTCTAATCCCACCTTAGCCATGAAAACCGAGGTGAGCGCAGCAGTTAGAGTGCAGTACTGCAGGCCACTTTAGCTGACTGTGTTCAGCAGGTCAGCGGTTCAAATCTCACCGGCTCAAGGTTGACTCAGCCTTCCATCCTTCCGAGGTAGGTAAAATGAGGACCCAGATTGTTGGGGGCAATGTAAATATATATATACATTGCTTACTGGTGTACACCGCTTAGAGAGTGCTTGCACTTAAAGCGGTATATAAGTCTCATAAATAAATAAATAAATAAAACCAGATGGGTGACTTTGGGCCAATCACCAGTAGACAATGACTTCTAATCCCACCTTAGTAATGATTTCAATTTTCTGAATTCCCCAGACAGCATGGGAAATTTAGACTTTACACATCACTCTAACTCAAGGGTGTCAAGCTCAATTTCATTGAGGGCTGCATTAGCATTGCGATTGCCCTCGGGGGTGCAGGGGGTGCGGCCTACTGGTGGGCATGGATGGAGTGGGTGTGGCCTACTGGGTGGGCATGGCCAGCTCTACATCATTCGCGTCAAGGGTGCCTGTGGGGGCCTGGGTAGGAGTGGGACAGATCTGAGGGTCTCTGGCAGAAAGGGATGGGACCAGAGCAAAGCCCATCAAGCCGGATATGTGAAGTAGGCAAAGACCCATTTGCTGGCCACTTCCAGGCAATGGTGCATTTCTTCATTCCTCATAAAGGGTGACACCTCCCCCAGCATGCACCCAGGGGGTTGGGCCAATGTGGCAGGGGCTGGTTCCTCGCTGTTTCCAGACGGCCTTATGGAGCTAAGACTGAATGCATTTCAGCATAGATGGCCACCACAAAATTGTACATTGGCTCCTGGCCTGCCTGGGCCAGGGCCAAGGTAGAGGGGGCCGTTCCCTCACTGTTTCCAGGATGGCTTCATGGGCTACATGAAATCACTTCGCGGGCCACATCCGGCCCCTGGGCCTTGTGTTTGACATGCCTGCTCTAACTCATACGGTTTGTTTGATTTCTGATTGAATATACTGCACTGACATCCGCCATGGTAACTTCTACATCATGGCTTTGGCTTTGTCATTGGCAAGTCAATGACCTGAGGCAATGATATCATTCAACAAACAGCAGTTTTAAAATGTCTTAGCACGATGAATGAACCCATTTGCTGTCTGTATACAGAATGCTTTGCATTGTGCAAGAACAGCCCTAGATGAGTGGGAAAGCTGATCTCTAGCTTTAGTTGAAAAAATGCATTGTTCATTGGAGTTTTTAATTTCTCCTCTCAGGACAGTGAACTTTTGACGTTTAACATCTCCCAACACCAGTCATGGTGGAGTGAGAATGGTCCTGGTTGCGTAAGGAAGGAGACGCCCATGATCGGCATCAAAGGTCTGGACAACCATTCCTATGTTTCTGTGATCGGTTGCGCGCTGGAGTATCGTTACATCGAGGTCATGCACAGCGCCCTGCAGATTCTGGTGGCGGTGAGTACACCCTCTGGGTTCTTGACTGATGAAGCACTGGAGAATCAGTGCCCCAGTATAAGAGGTGCTCTCTCCTCAAAGGAATTTAATGAAATAATAACTCAAAAGGTGAATTGCTGGGGAAAAAAAGATCTACCAGTGTTCCCTTCAGACAGAAAACACTTTTTATTAAACAAACAAACAAACAAACAAACAGCAGTATTAGAATTGGTTTAGAATGCAGTATTGCAGGCAAACTCTGCCGACTGCCAGCAGTTCAATCCTGACCGGCTAAAGATGGACTCAGCCTTCCATCCTTCCAAGGTCGGTAAAATGAGGACCCCAGATTGTTGGGGGCAATATGCTGATTCTGTAAACCGCTTAGAGAAGGCGATATACAAGTCTAAGGGCTATTGCTGTTGCCATTGCTATTGCTATTCTTTTCTGTTTTGTTCTGTTCTGTTTTGTTCCATTCTATTCTGTTCTATTGCCATGGTGCTACAGGTGGTTAGAAGGCAGTATCGCAGGCTAACTCTACCAACTGCCAACAGTTCGATCCTGACCAGTTGACTCAGGCTTCCATCTTGGCAAGATTGGTAAAATGAGGACTCAGATTGTTGGGGGCAATAATGCAGACTTTGTAAACTGCTTACAGAGGGCTGTAAAGCACTGTGAAGTGGTATTGCTATTTATAGACCACCTTTCTTACTTTCCAGAGTGACTCTGGGTGGCTTACGATGTAATCAAAGTAGAAATATGAAACCCATTGTATTTATGAGAACAATTAAAAAAATTAAATACGTCCTTCCTGGTTTATTTGGTGCCTTATTGGGGAGGCCTGTCTGGTGCTTCAGTTCAACCTGCAAAAGAGCTTTAGAGGGTGTGATGCAGGTTTAAAAAAGAAGCACAGGGTCACAACTACCATTCTGACCTTTTTTGACCTCCCTGTGGACACCTCTAGTTGGTCCTCAGAATGATAAGGATTTGGATCATTGTTCGCTGAAAATTGCTGCAACCCAGGTGTTTCTCCTGTTCACCTTTGCACTGCGAAACTGTGAGAAAAAGACCTGCAATTCTTGGCTGTAGGGAATTCCTTGATTTACAACCATAATCGGAACCAGAATTTCCATCATAAGTCATTAGAGACCTAAGTTGAGTCAGACCTGATTTTCTGATTATTTTTATGGTGATTGCTAAGCGAATCACAGCTTTCCCAATGGACATTTCTTGTGGGAAATTGGGGGAAAAAAGTAACAACTTGCCATCATATGATACGATGGTCATAAGTGTAAGTTATGTGTAAGTGTAAGATGTTGAGACTCTAGAAAACATACAGAGAAGAGCAACAAAGATGATTAGGGGACTGGAGGCTAAAACATAAATAGTAGTTGCTGGAATTGGGTATGTCTAGTTTATATCTGTCTTTGAACATACAGAGTAAAACCTCAGTTTTCTGGAACTTGATACAATAATAGAAACACTGAGGGCAGAAAAAGACCTAGTGGTCTATTAAATCCACCCTTTGAGTTTTTGTTTGCCTGGTTTTGTTTTCTTTTTAATTAATTAATTTTAATTATCAATTTACTTATTTATTATTTATTTTCCTGTTTTATTATTTATGTATTTTTTAATTGGTTGATAATTTTTTGTCAGATGATGGACATGTGTTTATCCCAAGCATGTTTAAATTCAGTTACTGATGACTGATCTGGCAACCTCCGCTGAAACTTGGTTTCAAGTTTCCATTGCTTTATCTGTGAACTAATATTTTTCTAACATGACTTCTTAACTTCCAGCCTGTCATCCCAAAGGTGCTTTTTCCTGAGGCAACTGGACTTCCTTGTTTTTCTTTGAAGATGTTTCGCTTCTCATCCAAGAAGCTGCTTCAGCTCTGAAGCTTCTTGGGTGAGAAGTGAAATGTCTTCAAAAAAAACCCCAAGAAAATCCAGTTGCCTCATGAAAAAGCACCTTTGGGATAATTATGACCTGCATGACTGAGAATCTCCCTCCTGTCCGTTTGAAGTTATGCCTCCTGTGTTCTTGATTTTTGCTTAAGTTTGAAAACGCTGCCTTCTACAGTAGAACCTTATTCAATCATGTCTCTCCTTTTCCTTTCTGTCCTCAGGGCTGTACATATGCAGTTCCTCCAACCTCTTCTGATACGTTTTGTCCCTCAGACCTTCCGCCATCTTTGATGCCCGTCTCTACTCTCACTCTATCTCAGGGGTAGGCAACCTTGGCTCTTTTATGACTCGTGGACTTCAACTCCCAGAATTCCTGAGCCAGCCATGCTGAAGGGAAAGGGAGAGGTTTCCAAGCTGAGCCGTGCTAGCTCAGGAATTCTGGGAGTTGAAGTCCACGAGTCATAAAAGAGCCAAGGTTGCCTACCCCTGCCCAAATACCTGAATTTTGATCACATGGCTGTGAGGAAAAAATATTTAAACCAGGGTTCTTCAAACTTGGCTCTTTTGTGACTCATGGACTTCAACTCCCAGAATTCCTGAGCCAGCCATGCTGAGGGAAAAGGGGGAGGTTTCCAAGCTAAGCCATGCTGGCTCAGGAATTCTGGGAGTTGAAGTCCAGGAGTCATACAAGAGCCGAGGCTGCCTACCCCCGCTTCTATCTTATCAATATCTTTTTTTTTTAAGTGAGGTCTTCACATGGAGTGAAATGTTCCTCAAACAATGTTGTTAACGTGATAACATCCTTTGGTACTTAACAGGCCTTCCTGAATAAAGGACCCTCTTTCCCTCAACTAATTTGTTAAAACCAGATTTTGCTGTCTTTAATTTAGCAAGCTAATGCTTTCCAGCCCTACTTCCATAGAGGGGGAAGGTTTGGGTATATCTGTATGCAGATCTCTGTGTTTGTGTGGGTGGATGAGTGTAGATGTGCATGAATTTGAATCTTAAATTTAGTAGACTCAGGCAAAACAAGGGAAGAAAGCAAGGCTACGCTCGCTAAATGTGGTCTTTTATGGTGGCTGCCTGCCCATCATTTCTGGGATTGTGGCTTTTTTTTAATTTGTTACAAGCAGCGGAACCGTATGGCACATCAAAACGTATTGCTTCTGACGGTCTCTTTGCTTGTTGTTCAGCATGAATTGGAATATATATATATATATTATTTGCTCCAGAAATCTCAAAGCATTGTCTTTTTGCTTTCCAAAACCCCACCACATGCCTTGCAGTTAGAAAATCCTATTTTACAAACAAGCAGAGACTGTGGAGAATTAGAGCTATTTCCAAGTATCTGCTTTCTGCAAGCAAATTTCAAGCGTTTCAGAGTTTCTTTCCAGCTCAAATTAAATTCAGGTCGTACAAAAATCACACTCTCTTGTCCCCTTCTATACAGGAGACTTAAGAAAAACATACACACACCTTCCCAGCCCCAATTTGCTTCTGGAAGCATTTCCTGTGGATAGATAAATCAACTTTTTTATGAACAGTGTCTGCAATTGAAATATTTATAGGTGTGTAGAAGAGAGGCAGCTGAAGGAGGGGAAGGCCATCCAGTTAGACTCAACTTGTACATTTTCTCCCCAAGGATATAATAATAATAATAATAATAATAATAATAACAACAACAACAACAACATCATCAACAACAACAACAACAATAGCGAATTTGTCAACACCATTGGCATTGACAAATTTGCCATTAGTCAATTGCAAAAGGTGGCCTTACTAGGAACCGCTTCCATCCTGCGACGATATCTGTAATACCATCAAACATCCACATCTGCCTATCCCAGGTCCTTGGGAAGGACTCGATAGGTAGACAAAATGCCAAATCCAGTCTGAACGTCTGGCTGACTATGTGATGATCAATAATAATAATAATAATAATAATAATAATAATATTAGGAACTGTTTCCATCCTGCGACGATATCTGTAATACCATCAAACATCCACATCTGCCTATCCCAGGTCCTGGGTAAGGACTCGATAGGTAGACAAAATGCCAAATCCAGTCTGAACATCTGGCTGACTGTGCGATGATCGACAATAATAATAATGTACTTGCCTGAAAACAATGCTTTTTTGATAAATGTCTATGGAGATTCTCAGCCATCCAGGTCATAGTTATCCCAAAGGTGTTTTTTCACAAAGCAACTGGACTTACTTTCTTGTTTTTCTTTGAAGACATTTCACTTCCCATCCAAGAAGCTTCTTCATCTGTGACTGGATGGTGGGGAATGGAAGGATTTATATTCCTTGCAGACAGATGGTCATTTGCATTCTTTTAGAGAGATGTTGAGGCCACTTGGAGGTTTATCTATGTCCTCAGGGTCACCCAAGTAGTGCAAATAGTAGTGTTTAGAGTAGTGAGTTAGTGACCCTGAGGACACATGTAAACCTCCAGGTGGCCTCAACAACCCTCTAAAAGAATGCAAATGACCAGCTGTCTGCAGGGAGTATAAATCCTTCCATTCTCCACCATCCAGTCAGAGCTGAAGAAGCTTCTTGGATGAGAACTGAAACGTCTGTAAAGAAAAACACGAAAGTCCAATTGCCTCCACCTTTGAGATATTCTTTGATATTGACTCTTGGTGACAACATAGGTAGAATTTCTCCAAAATGATCTATCTTCAACAGAATAGAATAGAATAGAATAGAATAGAATAGAATAGAATAGAATAGAATAGAATAGAATAGAATAGAATAGAATCTTTATTGTCACTTTAAATGTACCCTAATCAGCATACATTAAAATGAAAGTTCATTGCATTCATCTCTTTAAAAATACCATTCTGCATATTCCTACACACATATATATGACACAGAGAAACATCACAGTCTAGTTCGAGTGTATACATATACATGGCACACAAAAAAAGAATCCTGCAAATTTACAAGACAGATGGCATAAGGAACAAAACTGTTACAGAATCTAGTAGTTCTGTTATAAATACTTCGAAACCTCCTCCCAGAGGGGAGCAACAGATCGTGAAGTGGGAGTGTGGGGTCTTTAATAACACTTCAAGCTCTCACATAGTGCTTATAAGCAGTGTCCTGAA